GCAGCACCCCCTCCCTGTTCTTGTCTCTCTGGCAGCCTCTGCTGCAAGGAAAAGGCTCGAAGGTCACTTCTGGCCCTCAAGACCAACCATCCCCCTTTCCATCCAAGCCTCTGGCCGCCCATCACATCAGGACCGCATAAGGCAGCCTTCAGAGCCTGCTCAGGAGGTCAACCCAAGGCTGACCTGGCCTCCAGCCGGACTGCCACTCTACTGGAAATACAGGGCAGGGGTAAAAGATAACTTAGAGGGCATGACGGTTTGGCACAGCAGGCTAAGCTATAACTGGCAAGACTGGCATCCCATGTGGGTGTTGGTTTGGGTCATGGTCACTCTGCTTCCATCCCCCTCACCTGCTGATGCATCATGTGGGGGGCAGTGGAGGATGGCCCAAGCCCTTGGACCCCTGCCCCCATGTGGGGATGCAGACAGAGCTCCAGGCTCTTGGCTCAGCCAGCCCTGGCTGCTGCAACCACTTGGGGGATGAACCGAACCAGCGGATAGAAGGTTTTTCCCTCACTGTCATTCTGCCTTTCAAATAAACTAAAAATGTCAAAACATTTTGAACTTGCACCATTTCTGCCATCAGCAAAATTCAGACTGTGGGAAAGTTAGTAAGTCAAAAGGCCCAAGCTTTTCAAAGCCAAATTGTAAGAACTCTCCCATCCATCCACCCACCCACCCATCTATTAGAGGGGTGAGAAGAAAAGCTTTACAGTAACACACTTGAAACCATCAGTACAAGGCCGGTGCTGTGGCACGGGACGTACAGTGCAGGCATCTCCCGTGACTGCTCGGCTCGGGAAAGCAGCAGAAGGCAGCCACATGCTTGGGCTCCTGCAGCCACACAGGAAACCCAGAAGGAGCTGCTGCCTCACACCAGCCCAGCACTGACTGCTGTGGTCACTTGGGGCCTGAACCAGTGCGTGCAAGATCCCTCTCTCTGTAACTCTGCCTTTTAAATAATTAAATAAATCTTAAAAACAAACAAACAAGAAAAAACCAGGGCCCGGTATTGTGGTCTAACCGGTTAAGCTGCCATCATCCCACATGGGGCCAGTTTGAATTCCAGCTGCTCCACTTTATCCAGCGCCCTGCGAGTGGTTGGGCTCTCGCACAGGATGAGTTCCTGGCGGAAGCCTGGGTTAGCCCAGGGTCATGGCAGCCAGTGGCCTGTGTCTTGGGAGGCAGCTGGTAGGGGCTTTGGGCTTGGGCCCCTCCCTGCCGCCTGCTCCAGCCCCAGCAGTTGCTGCAGCCATTGGGCAATGAGCGTGTGATGGCGGCTCTCCGCCAGCTGCATCCCTGCTGAGCGGGAATGTGGGCAGCCCAACAGAACCTTAGCGCTCTCCCTCTCTTTTTGTTTAAGTATGTATTTATTTTTATAAAAAGGCAGATCAGATTTACAGATAGGAGGAGAGACAGAAAGATCTTCTGTCTGCTGGTTCACTCCCCAAGTGGCAGCAATGGCTGGAGCCGAGCCAATCCAAAGATAAGAGCCAGGTCTCCCACATGGGCGCAGGGTCTCAAGGCATCGGGCTGTCCTTGACTGCTTTCCCAGGCCACAAACCAGTGCCCACATGGGATCCGGGCACTTGTGAGACTAAGATTTAGCCATTGAGCCAATCCCTATCACTTTAACCGACACACCCACCTTCCCAGGGCGCACCAGCCTCCTGGGGACCATCCCACTCCACAGCTCACAGTGTCAGGGTCTCCACTCCCAGAGGCACTGCTTTTGTTGTGTCGTTCATGGGCAACTCTCTGGTACACTTGTGATGGACATTTCTCCATAGAGGGCACACTGGGGTAAGAGCAAGGTCTCCGACCCACAGTGCAGCTGGCCAGAAAATGCAGGCGCCTGGCAGCACACCCCGCAGTATCCGTTCCCAGAAATGCATCCCCAGAGCCCCGCCTTGAGACAGCAACACTGAAGCCATTTCCCACGTAAACCCACCTCCCCTTCCACACGGAACAGCCCTAGAACCGAAGCAGAGGCCACCTCCTTGGCCTGGCCCCCGAACCAACACCCCCAAAACTCACAATCTGGGAGCCAGACTGGTGGTTGTAGGCACTCTTTTGAACCTCAACCACCCGTCTCGGTTTTTTGCCTTTACACACCCCCTGCCCCGGGCCCATGCATCCCTAGGGTTCCTCCAGATTAAAGCGCACAGTGGACCGAGTCCACTCCGGCCTGCAGCAAATCAAGGCCCTGGCAGAAAGCTCTGGCCAGACCCGCTCCCTTCTCACAAGGGAATGCCAGGCTCCCATTCCAGCTGTCCCACTGGGAGACACCTGCTCTTTACAAGCCGCCAGAGGGCTGGGGAATACCCAGGTGCCTCCACCAACTCCCCCACCAGGGCAGGTCCGCAAGCCACGTGGAGCCTGCACCTTCTTCAGAAACACGCCCACCGCTTCCCATGCTGAGGGGGACAGATCCAGGACAGTGCCCTCCAGCCCCTCCCCAGCCCCAGCCCAGGCGCTTTCTCTTCTCTCTAGCCCTCCCCTCCTCCATCAAAAACACTCCGCTAAGGACAGGAAAGCAGCCTGACCGCTGCCGCGGTCGACACCTGTCCCGCAGCAACAAAGTGCGCTTTGCAAGAACATTCTAAGTGCGGTAGGTACCAAAAGTCACAACTGCAGAATTCTTAGAGATGAGGGACAGGGGAAGACACTCTACCAGGGCCGGCAGCTGGGCCAGCCCTCTGTCAGCAACACCGACATCCCACACGGGTTCCAGCTCATGCTCCAGCAGCTGCATTTTCTTGTCTTTTTCAAGATTTACTTATGTTCTCCATTTCCAGGTGCTGATGAAGTCTGACCCCAAAGAGCAGTGCTCCCCTCTCCCGCAGACACAGGAGAAAAAGTGAAAAATCGAAACTTCAGTACCCTAATCAGAGGCCCACATGGGCATGCAGCCCACTCAACTATATAAATATTAAAAATAAAATCTAGGGCCCGGCGGCGTGCCCTAGCGGCTAAAGTCCTCGCCTGAACGCACCAGGATCCCATATGGGCGCCAGTTCCAATCCCGGCAGCTCCACTTTCCATCCAGCTCCCTGCTTGTGGCCTGGGAAAGCAGACGAGGACGGCCCAAAGCCTTTGGGACCCTGCACCTGTGTGAGATACACAGAAGAAGTTCCTGGATCCTGGCTTCAGATCGGCATAGCATCGGGCGTTGCGCTTACTTGGGGAGTGAATCATCGGACGGAAGATCTTCCTCTCTGTCTCTGCTCCTCTCTGTGTATCTGACTTTCCAATAAATAAATAAATAAATCTTAAAAAAAAAATCTAGAAAAAATACCAGAGAATGTATTTATTTTATTTGAAGGAGTTACTGAGGGAGGGAGGGAGCGATCTTCCATCTGCTGGACCATTCCCAAATGGATGTAAAATGACAGGACCTGTGTCAGTCCAAAGCCAGGAGCCAGGAGCTTCTTCCAGGTCTCCCACGCGGGTGCAGGGTCCCAAGGCTTTGGGCCGTCCTCACTGCTTTCCCAGGCCACAAGCAGGGAGCTGGATGGGGAGTGGAGCTGCTGGGACCAGAACTGATGCCTATCTGGGATGCCTTGCTAACAGAGGATCAGCCAGCTGCTCCACTTCTGCTCCAGCTCCCTGCTAATGCGCCTGGGAAAGCAGTGACCGATGCTGACCCGGTACCCACGTGGGAGACCTGAAGGAAGTTCCTGGCTTTGGACGGGCTCAGCTCCAGCCACTGTGGGTGTGAACCAGCAGATGGATGGTCTCCGTGTCTCTCCTTCTCTCTCTGTAAAACCACCTTTTAAGTAAGAAACACATCTTTAGAATTCGCCGGCCCCTAAAAGTGTTTTAGTGTAAGTGGTCCCAAGCAGCTGGCGTCAGGCTCCTGCCCTTTCTCCACCAGCCAGCCTTGAAGGGGCAAGACCTCGGTCGCATTCAAAACCTGTCACGGGGTATGACAAAAGCCCATCTCTCCTGAGACGTCAACACTTAACTGACATGCCAACCTCCCAGGGCACTCGGGTTTTCTCACAGAGATGGCTTCTCAAAGCTCTTTCCCCAGAGCGCCACAGAGGAGGGTCCTGCGGGCGCGACCCCCCAGGCCCTGCCCAACCAGCCACCCGGAAGTGGCTTCACTTTCCAACCAACCAGCAAAACAACCAGAGCAATGCAACTTCTTCCTTAGGCAAGCCGACTCTCGGACTCCAGGAAAGGAGAAGGAGGGAGACGTTCCCCACACCAAGCGTCTTCACAGCCCCTCCCCAGAAACTGAGAACTGGCCTCTAGCTCCCCGCGGTGCGCTCCTATACCCACAGTCACCAGACCGCTCCATTTTAGGGTGCTCATTTGCAAGACTTCCGCTCTGCTGCTGACAGGGACCCCGACCGGCTTCCGATTTCAGTCCATTCCCCAACCAATACTGATCAACAACAACAAAGGGACGCAGCGCGAACCCTCCCTGCCATTCTCAACCAAGTGTCACCCCATCCAGAGGCGCCACTGCAAAACAGCGCTGCAAGGTAGCAAAGAAACGCATCCCGGGCCAGGACGACTTAAAAAAAAAAAAATGACATTGTTTCCAGAATGCCAACACACTAACCGGTTACGACTTCGTGGGGGTGGGGGGAAGGCAACGCGCGAGACACGGGGCACCACCTCCTGCGCCCCACTCGCTCCTTCTCCAGGAGGAGGCCACTAGGGGCAGAAAGGCGAAATCCCCACCTTCTCGGGCCGCCACGCAACCGCCCAGCGGGTCTCCCCACGCACCCAGGCTGGGGTGCAGCGTGCGGGCACCCGCACAGGCCAGACCTGCGACGCGCGGGACCCCCGGGCCCACCCACCGCCCCAGCCCTGGCGGACGTGGGGGTGTCTCCCTGGGGCTCCAGCAGACCCGCCCCTCCCCAGTCGCGGTGGCCAGGGGTCCCCGGTGCGCGGACTGCCCCGACAGGGCCCAGGGCACGGGGAGGGTCCCCTGGCCGCTCCCGCAGGCGCGCGCACGGCCTCCGCGCCCCGGGGCACGTCCGCACCTTGCGTTTGCGGGCCTCGGCCGTGCCGCTCCACACGAAGCACTGGTAGATGGCGCGCAGGTTCTGCTTCCAGTTGTCCACCTTGAAGCTGCCCAGGTGCGGGCAGCCCGACGGCGCCACGGCCAGCTCGGCATCCATGGCTTCGGCCTCGGGCTCCGGCCGGGACACCATGGCGGGAGGCAGGGCCCGGCCGCGCACCGGGGGCGGCGGGGGTGGCGGCGGCGGAGGAGGCGAGGGGGGCGAGGACGACGCCAGCGCGGCGGGGTCCCGGGCTGTCCTGCTCGGCGCTCGCCCAGGCGGCCGCGACACGGGAGCAGGGAACAAAGCGGCGGCGCGGCCGGACAAAGACGCGGCTGCGCAGGCGCCGCCCCCGAGCCCCGCGCGCGCAGGGCGGGGCGGGGCGGAGATGACGTCACCCCGCCCAGCTGGGGCTGGGCGAGGAGGAGGGGCGGGGCGAAGCCCGCTAAGGCCCTTGCTATTGGTCAGAGGCTTAGCCCCGCGGCCCCTGGAGCTGTTTCCATAGGCTGCGCGGACTGTCTGTCCGGCTCAGCGCCGCCTGCCGGGAAGTCGGGGACTGGAGGCTCCCGGCCTCGCGCTGGAGACCAGGGGAGGGGCGGGACGTTCGTGAGGGATTGCGAACCGGTTTGCACCGGCCTGAGCTTTGCCGCAGAGCGGCGGGGTGCGGGGCTGAGGGCGGTGCGGGAGGCTGGGCCTGCAAGCGGGCCCGAGATGGCGACCCCCGGCCCTCCTGTGCTGACGGGGAGCCCGCCTTCCCCCTCGGGGTAGACATCTTTCCAGCTACGCCTTTGTGTTGTTAGCTCCGTTTCCACAGGCTGGGTGGATTCGACACCCAGAACACTCCACTGGCTCAAGCTGAAAGTCGACATTTTCTCAGGCGTGAAAATGCATAGCGCTTTAAAATATCTGTTTGAAAGGCAGAGTTAACGGGGGGGGGGGTCCGGGGGGGGCGGTCAGGCAAAGAGAGCCTCCATCTCCTGGGTCGCTTCGTAAATGGCGGCACCAGCCAGAGGCTGGACCACACCACCCCAGGAGCCACATCCAGGCCTGTCTTCCACGTGGGTGCAGGGCCCAAGGACTTGGGCCATCCTCTGCGGCTTTTGCAGGTGCCTTAACGAGGAGCTGCATGGGATGTGAAGTGGCAGTCCTGCCGCCTTCCTGAAAGCCAAAGTTGTAACACTGTTTTTAGAAGGTTTGTAATTGGACACACATGGCACAAAGCGCAGGAAGCAGCTGGAAGTGAGCATGTTAGGTTACAAAAATTGCTGATTTTTCTATGGAGTGATACAATGTTGGAGTGACCAGTGGTCATCCGTGGGAGCCCAGCAAGGCTGCCAAAATTGGGGGAGCAAGACAGCCCTGGAACTGGAAAATAGCAGTAACTTCAAAAGCATTGTTGTATGAGGGATCAGCAAATGAGATGGCCCAGTCCTGCAGCAAATGCTCCAGGATGGGACCACATGAAGGTGTGATCTTCCCTGAGGTCAGGGGCCTCAGCTGGGAGGACCCCAGATCTGCTCCTTGTGTGCGCTAGCTGGCGTAGCAGTCTGACCCAGCCCCCCCTTCGACCAGCCCTGTCTCCCTGGTGAGTCAATGGATACTGAGGCTCAACCTGGCCTGGCCCACCCCAAGACCTGACTCTTGGCCTATCCAAGGCAACCCCAAAGAAGCCCTGCCAAGTCTACCCCAGCCCCAGTTTGCACCTTTGCTGATGGGTGAACCCCAGCCGCAGCTCCGGTGCTCATCAGTGGCTGCATGATCCAAAGTGGAAGACCCTGGGTTGGTGACGTAGTTCATGAGGTCTACCCCTGCCTGCCATGGGTGCAGCAGGGGCTGTGGGTGGTGGCCAGCAGTCACCCCTATGTGGCTGCGTGGCATGGTGAGCGCCACCCACACCCTCCCACTGCTCCAGGTTTTCCATTTCAATTCACTGAAGTTAGACACAATTTTTAACGCTGTATTTATTTGCTTAACCCAGTACACCTCCATGGTGGCGCCTAACATTTTTTTCTTTGAAAGCAGACTTACAGAGAGAAAAAGAGAAAGACATCTTTCATCTTCTGTTTTACACCCAAAATGGCCTGTTTCTGCCAGAAGCCAGGACCTTCTTCCGGGTCTCCCACATGGATGCAGGGGCTCGAACACTTGGGATTATCTTCCACTGCTTTCCCAGACACGTTAGCAGTGAGTTAGATCAGAAGTGGAGCAGCTGGGACTTGAATTAGTGCCCATATAGGATGCTAGCACCATGGGCCATCTTTTGCATGGTGTTCCCACAAGGGGACACACCCGCGAGCATCCACACCTGGGGTTGCATTGAATGCTGGGTGAGTCGGGCAGAGCTCAGGGCTGTCTGTCCTGCAACAGGGGTGGGAGGTTGGGTTAGGAGGGGGTTTCAGGTGCTGGGCTCAGGGCTGGTTTCTGTGAGTTCAGCAACGTGTTTGCTTTTTCTGTGTTTGCAGACAACCTAAGCAAGTCCATCACTGCCTGGGAAAGTTCAAGGTCCTGGCGTGGGTGCAGGGCTGTGAAAACCTGCACCATGGTCAGACTATTGTTGGAACAGAGAAAGAGAGTGGAAGAGCTGGAGCTGGGTAACATGTGTACACTCCTACCTGCTCCAGGGGAGGTCTCGCTTCAAGCCCGCAACAGGAAGTTGTGTAGGAGACATTGAACAAAAGGCACAATTCCGCGAGAACTCCTTGGCTATTGGTTGAGCTCGGGTTTGCTGGTCTTGCTGCTAGGATGCTCCACGTGCGTGGGTGTGTGTTCTGTGAGCTGACTGTCCGGATGTGGGGCCGACATTCAACATAATGCTCATGTGATCGGTGCTGCTGCTGCTGGGAAATGGGGGGAAGCTGCAGGCTTGTCCACTATGTGCTAAAGCACCGGGAATAGAAGGGGAGAAACTTGCCACTGTAATATGAAACATATTCACTTCTTGAATTCTTTTTTCTTTGTATACTTTTTAAAGATGCATTCTTTTACCACAAAAAATATGTTTATTTATTGGAAAGGCAGAGTCACAGAGAGAGAGAGAGAGAGTCTTCCATCCAGTGGTTAACTTTCAACAGGATAGGAACGCCCTGCGCTGGGCCACGCAGAAACCAGCAGCCTTTTCCAGGTCTCCCATTTGGTTGCAGGCACTCAAGCACTTGAGCCATCCTCCACTGCTTTCCTAGGCATATTGGCAGGGAGCTGGATGGGAGTGGAGCAACGAGAACTTGAACTGTCCCCGGTATAGGATGCCAGCACTGCGGGTGATGGCTTAATTGGCTATGCCACAGCTCCAGCTCCATACTTTGAATACATTTAATCTTAAAATCAAAAAAATAGTGCAATGAGCACTTCCCTGCCCCGCTCGTGAGGGCGTTCCCGTCCACACTTTCTAAGCCCGGCACCTCCTGTGTTTGCTGTAGCTCCTGAGAGCTGTCTCATCCACCTCCCATGTGAGAGAGGTGCTGTCAGTATCCTCCTGTGGGCATCTCTCAAGAACTGGGCATCCCCTCCCTGTCACCACAGGGCTTGGACCACAAGCTGGGCCTGGGACACAGGTGCACCACCCAAGGGTCAGTCTGTGCCATTGCCTCAGATCACGTCCCAGGGTCACCTGTGCTGTTGTGGGTTTATATTCATGTACGTTTTCATGGATTCTGTAACAAGGCAAGGGGAGCCACACTAGAGACTGGGGTGCGTCGTTCCATCCAGAGGGAAACTGGCTGCCTTGATGTGCTGGAAGATTCCTGGCCTGCCGGTGAGCACCCTGCTCTCATCCCAGTGCACCAGGCGGTTCTCTCTAGCAATAAACTCTTGCTTGAAAATCAAGGGGCTGGGAGTCTCTGTCCTTCCCACAGGAGGGGCTGAGCAGAGGCACGGTCAGGAGCCGGCCCCTGCAGGCCACAGCGGATGTGGATGGGTGTGTGTGACCTGGTGGTTGGCTCCTTCATGGGGTGATATTCAGAAGCTGGAAGATATTACACCTCAGGGACAGCATGGGACTCCTGTGCAGGAACATGCTGTGTCGCTCAAGGTCATGTGTGTGTTCCTGCCCTTGGGACAGGGGACCCTGGATCCTGCCTTGCACATGGAGAATCAGCAAATGTGTCTTAGCACTGGCTTCTAACTCACCTCCCAACTCAATCACTGCCCCCCACTGAGTGATGGGGGACAGTGCACCT